GGAGCCAAGGGCATCCCACAGGAGCTCATGCAAAGCCCAGGGTGCGGCTCCACGGCTCTTTGGTCCCTGCCCCATCAGCAGTGCAGGAGTGCGATGAGGCACTCAGGCACTGAACCAGATCCCCAGAAAGCCACTACCCATCACTTGCAGGGATGTTCCCTGGTGGTGGAGGGGCTGAAGGCGCACACCCTGGGCCCAGGCACACACTAGGGCTGGCCCATGGAGGAGATGGGAGCCAAGGGATGGAGGGGGAGGCAGGACAGAGGCAGCCCTGGCTCAGACTGATGGAAATTTCATGCAATGGAAAGCAAAGTGCATGGCTGGAGCTGAATCCCCACCTACACAATGGATTGCCCTGGGCACTGCACTAAATACATTAAGCAATGATGAATATACATATTTTAAGACTAAATCTACTTCCTAATGGAACTTTTCACTGGCAACCTTTTCTTATTGTGCCTTTGAACTCCATGTGTCTGAACAACTGCTGCTGGGTGAAAACAGCTTCCCAAGTCAAAATAGCATCAAAAGATTGAAGAAACATTCCCAACATCCAGAAAATGTCTTGAGTTTTATTTTGTATGGGTAAAACCAATGAAACCATAAAGCTCCCTCAGATTTAACTCTCAATCTGAGAAATTGGTTTAAATGGGTGAATTTTCACAGAACCACTGAATGGGTATGGCTGGAAGGCACCACTGGAGGTCATCTGATCCAATCTCCCTGATGTCCCCTAGAGCACATTATTCAGGATTGTATCCAGGTGGCCTTTGAGTATTTCCAATAAAGAAGGTTCCACCACCTCTCTGGGCAACCTGCTCCAGTGCTCACACACACTCACAGTAAAGAAGTTCTTGCCCCTGTTCAGATGGAAATTCCTGTGTTCCATGTATTGCCCATGGCCATTCATCCTATTGCTCAGCACCACTGAGAAGAGCCTGGCTCCTTCCTCATGGCAACCTCTCTTCAGACACTTAGAGACACTGATGAGGTCCTTCTTAGTCATCTCTTCTCAAGGGTGAACAGGCCCAACTCCCTCAGCCTTTCCTCATAGGAGAGATGCTCCAGTCCCTTATTCATCTCTGTAGCTCTCCACTGGACCTGTTCCAGGAGCTCCCTGTCTCTCTTGTGCTGAGGAGCCCAGAACTGGACACAGCACCCCCAAGTGTGGCCTCAGCAGGGCTGGGCAGATGGACAGGATCACCTCCTTGGACCTGCTGGCAGTGCTCTTCCTAATGCATCCCAGGATACCATTCACCTTCCTGGCTACAACGGCACAATGCTGGCTCATGGACAGCTTCATACACCATCCTTAGCTGGTCCGGTCCATCCATCCATCCATCCATCCATCCATCCATCCATCCATCCATCCATCCATTAATCCAGAGTCCAGGCTGAGCTGTTACATAACCTTTCCAGGAACTCATGTGGGTCTGACTGGCTGGCAGTTCCCTAGGTTCCTCCCTCTGGTCCTTTTTGAATACTGGAGTGGTTTGCTTTCTCCCAGTGCCCAGGCACCTCTCTTGATTGCCATGGCCTTCCAAGGGTGACTGAGAGTGGCCTAGCAATGACATCTGCCAGCTCCCTCAGCAGACATGGATACATCCAACCAGGATCCATGGACTTGGGGATATTGAGTTTGACTAAATGGTCTCTAACCCAATCCTTCCCAACCAAGGGGAAATCTTATTTGTCTGGACCTTCTCCCTCATCTCCTGGGTCAGAGGTTCCTGGGGGCTGGCTTTGGCAAGTGATTGCTGTAGATGGCACTGGCTGGTGAAGGGAGGGTAAAGGGTGGTGAGGACAACCATGACATGGTCCCAGTGGTGCAGGGTGGCTGCTCCGGCCTCTTGCCCACGTGATGTAAAGCACGTAAAGGGGGAACACATGCAGGGATAAAATGGATGGTCTAAAGTGGCAAAAAAATGGAAGGTCCAAAATGGGGAAAAAACCCACTTTGGAACTCCTCTGTGACTGTGCACATCGAAGCTGGTTGGTCCAACCCTGTATGCAGGGAAGGATGTATTCCCACAACCACATCTGAGGATCTCATAATGAAGATCAGGAAAACCACCAAATGGAACAATTCCTTTGCCAGCTCTCTCATCTATCTGGACTCTGTCTTTCCCCCTGGAACAGGGCTAGCTGAAGGGGATGGTCCTACAGCTTTTCCCAGCCCATTTCAGAGAGCATCAGCTGCATCCCACTGGACCTGTTCACCAGAGATGAATTCTGTAGGTCCTCTGCAGTGCCTGCTTGGACATAAATTCCACTGGAGACAGCAGTAGCGTTGCTGCAGAAAGCTGGAAGCAAGGACTACAGAGTAGGATTTTTTTCAGAGGCAGTAAAACTTTTTCTTAAAAAATGTCAATAAATGAGAGAACTGTGGGGTTTTAAAAGCAGGAAGATGAGAGGCTGAGTCAGACAGGGTTGCTGACCACAGCTCTGCCTGCGAACTGGGAAATGAAAAGAAAATAATTTCTGTGCTATAGAAATATCTAATTATTGTCTGCCATCTCAAATGCCTCCAAAGAGAAACTCCTGCAGAGACCTTTAAAGCTCTTTTAGTACAGAAAGCAGGAAAATATTCTGTCAGACTGAACCAAAATGCAGAGTGTGATCATATAAATCCCATGTCTTGGAGCCCAGCCCAGATGCTTCTGACTTTGTTGTTTTTTGCAGCAGTTTAGCAATTCAGCAGAATCATGTTTGCAGTCCTACATCTACTGGTTTTGGTAGTGGTGGTCCTTGAACTAATTGCTTATGTAAACAAACATTTAAAAACATAGAGGAGGAGGACTAAGACAGTTGGGGTTGGGGGGAAGGAATTACTATCAACTTCCAGCAATATATCTGGGGGTTAGAAATAATAATTCTTTATTGAATTCACAGAGGCTTTATTTTTAGAGAGGATAAAACCTGCTAAGCCTTCAGTTCCTGACACATCTCTTTGGAGCAAGAAGAGAGCGATAGCAATTAACAGGGAGGTCTCTGGCAGTGCCCATGGACAGAGGCTTTTCTGTGCCTTTTAATCTTTGAGCCCCCTAAGAGAGAGGAAGTGGTGAGGTAGGCAGTGCACAGCCCAACAAAGGTAATTATTGCTAATGAAAAGAGAACGGCACAGCCACCACTCCAGTGAAACCATCCCGGCAGCGTAGGAGGCTCTGGGCTCGTTATCGACCTTCCAAAACCCTTGGTGTCGTTCGCCAGGAGCGGGTTGGTGTGATTGCCAGGCGCTGCCACCATCACCTGTCCCGCTGGCAGCAGCGCCAGGGAGCCTTGCGAAAAGGCCAGAGGTGCAGATCAGCCGTGTGGAAAACACCTTTGGTGGGCCAGACCTTCATTTTTCCCTCTCGGAATATGTTTTAAATGAAGTGACTCTGGCGAACAGAGGAGCGCGAGCAAACATTTAGAGCTGTTTATTGAATAAAACAAGGTTTAAAAGGCGCATTATCGTCCCGGGACACAATGGCCATTGCTGTTTTTGTTGGTAAGTACCCGTGTGATTTAAAGCTGCTGACAGCACCAGACGCTCACAATGAAATCATCTCTCCCTCCCCTCTCCGCAGCTCGGGCAGACACTCATTTGTATGTATGGGTTCAGCCTGTCTGCTGCGGCTGGCCAAAGCGACAGATACTAATGGCATATGTTAATTACAACCCAACAACTTCCTTTCATTCGGGTGTTTATTAACATCCTCACTTCTGCTCGCCGAGGCAGCTGCCGGGAGATGCCGGGGATCACACGGATCTCCGATCCTGGACCGCGCTGGGTGTGCGCTGGATTGCGCCCCGCAGCCCGACCGGAGCCCGGCATCCCAGAGCTGGTTTTGTTCCCTCTGCTTGTCAGGCTGCAGAGGGCTGGGAGGAAGAAGGGAGCTGAGAAGGAATCTCCAGCCACGGCTGCTGGGCGGCCCCAGGTGCGGCTGTGCTCGGAACCCGGCACTCCGCTGGTAAAGCCTAGGTACAACAGCCCCGAAGAGCTGGAAAACAGCTCAATAATTCGGAATTTAGGGGGATCATAAAGTATCTGGTGTAAGCAGCGAATGCAGCCAAACGGGTTTTGCTGGGAATAAGGGGAATTGTCATCTCACCTGGAGCCAGGATCCATCTACTCTCCTGTCCAATTGCTCACTGTAATTGGAGACAAATACTTCAAAGGCAAATGCAAGAAACATGTAAAGGGACAATTCAGGTGTTTACCTTCCTCTTCACAACTGGCTTGTGACATTGGAAAAATGAGATAAAAGTTTACTTTGTAAGAAAGAAAGGATATCAGATACTCATTTCTGAGCCCCTCATCCTTATTAAGACCTATCAGTGATTTCTTATGACAAGGTGATGCAAGATGATCAGGTAATTCTGTAATACATTTCAAAAAATTCCTCAAATCTCTTTTCAAGTTGTTGTGCTTCAATTTCAAGCAACTTTATTAATAATCACTGTGCTGGCCAGGAGTCCTGGCCAGTGGAGCAGTACTGGGTGCAGCTCAGTTTTGCAGTTGCATAGAGCAAACCCAGCAGCTCACAGTATAAAACAAGCAGAGTCAGACACAGGACCACAAAGGAGAGCAGTGTGAGCAGGCTATTCTCTGCCACCTTTGAAGAAAATTGTATTAATCAAAAGACATTTTCAGGAGCAGTTTCTAGGAGGCAGCTGTGTGGATGATGGGAAGCTTTAAGGCAGCATGAAAGAAAAATAGGAGAGTTCCTTTGCTTTTGTTTTCAGGCTGGGTTTGATGCACGTCAAACCCTGTGTGAGATAAGTCTGAGTATTCCTGGCATTCCTCTCAGCAGGCATCGGGCTGTCTTTGGCATCTGGGGACTTCATATAGCATTGTGCTGCCCTGGTGACTGTGAGTTGTTAAGTCCCCACATAATTCCCTACAGCCTTCACTCATCTGGAAGTAAAGCATAATTAGCAATTTTTGTTATCTCACTATTTAACCCTTCTGTGGAGTTTGTATTTTGTACTGTTCATTTACAAATAGCCAAGCCAAAATGATACATCTGCTTTTATTTGTTGAGATGTGCAAAGAATTATAGTAGATCAGTAAGACACAATTGTCCTTTACAGTTGTCTGCTTTCTCTTCTTTCTGTATCCTGTTTATCTTCCTAAGGTTAATTGCTTAAGTTAGTGGTTTGGCCCATAGCACTGCACAACATAAATAAAAATAAGATTAAAAAATTTATAATAAAAAAATAAACTCCCTGATACCATGTAGGTCATAATGTAAAAGGCCACTTGAGGAAATTTGATTTTTATGTGCAGTTCATTCTCAAATTCCTGCATTTGTTCCTGGAGGCTGTTCTTGAGCAATTCAGAGTGAATGTGGAGGACCTGCAGGGTGAAGTCAGGCAAGGGGGCACTTCTCTGTGGCCTAAAGCACTTTTTTCCCTGGAGGAGGCAGAGAATGGTTCCTCCCCTTCCCTCCTTCGTGGGACACTAAGACATAAATACCTCTGCCTCCAAAGAGCTGCTTGTGTGGTTTTTCTTCTTCATGCTGACCCAGGCAGGGCTCTGAGGCCTCTGAGGTCTCACCAGCACTGAAGGAGTCATATCTGGGATGAGTAAGCCAGAACAGTAGAATGAACAACATTATTTTCACTGTTTACATCCAGCAAAATCCCCACACAATCACTTGTCACAGAGTACTAAGCACAGCCCCAAAATCATGTCAGAAGAGCAAGGGTTCTTGGTTTAGCAGCCTCTATTGAAAACTACTTTGTTTCTTGTTTAAAGACAAGACATTTATTTATCTGGTTGTACATTGTTCTCACTCCCCATGCTACTGGACCGATGGGACATTCCAGTTGTTTATTGACTTGTAGCAAAGCCAAAACCTTTGGATACTACAGTGAGGAGCTTGCATTGTCCCAATCCTCTGCAAAAACCATCCACTAGACAGAGGGAATTTAATTTCTTTCTTACAGTGAAAAACAATCCTGTACTGGAACAACCATGTAACCAGGAGGTGTCCACAGGGCTGGGTTTTAACAACAGCTCACAAATGAGTGCTAAATTGTCCATCATTATTCCAGGGCAAGGGCAGCCATGCCACCTGCATACACCCATGGGCAATCTCACCATGAAGGGATTGTTTCAATGCTCTGTGTCTAATTTTTGTATTAACAGAAATGATAAAATTAGAGCAGGAATGTCCTTGGATGGCTTCTGCTGTGTTCTGTTTTCACAGGATCAACTGCCCTGAGTGGGAATCTCTGGTTGGTAAATCCCAGCTATCATATAGGAGTTGTAGCTTGTGCTTCTTGTTCCCATGTCCACAGCCACAAACCACACTGAACAGCCCCTGCCTCCTGAATTCTGCCTTTTGTGTGCATCCTCTGAGAAACCAGGATGCAAGGTTTTTCTAGCCCTGAGTTTTCCACTGTTTCTGGTATATCCCCTACCCAGCTCAGTACGTGTAAATTCATCAGCAGAAACAGATCAAGCTGGTAGGCTGATACAGGCAGTACGAGAGGAATTGATAAGTTTGTCATTGGCCATGGTGGATGGGATGCATTGGGTGAAGCAAATGGGGCCCATCTGTGCAGCGAAGCCTGGTGACACCTGTCAGCCCTCTTCTCGCCTCTCTGTTGGCCCATGTCCTCACTGGTCCCAGGTGGAACCAAGCGCTCTGGTCACCAGGAGCCCTCTGGACAGCTGCAACCCCAGGCTCCCCAGGGATGACTTGTAAGGCAGGACCTCATCTCAGGTTGTCTTGCTGGTCAGAGTGACCCCAAAGCACATTAGAAAGTCTCTTTTCCCAGCCTGGTGGTGGAAGAAGGAGTCAGAGCTCTTCATTTTTCGGTCTCAAGGTTGTTTTTTGTATCTTACCTATAAAATTCTTTCTCCTGGCCTGCCGAGGTTCATTCAGCAGGACAGTCAGAGGCACTCTGGCCGCCCCCAGAGCAGTGTTATCTTTTTATACTAAAAACTACGTGTACAATATTTACAATTACTGTCCAATACCTATCATCTATGTTAGACAGTGAGCTTCCACTCTAAGTCAATCTAAAAGTGCCAACATCACAGCAGAAGATGGAGGCCAAGAAGAAGAAGGAGAAAGGCTGGACACACCCAGATTCCTTCATCTTGCCTCCTGAATCCCCATTCTAAAAACCCCCAAAAAATCTATTTTTCACCCCGTGGCAAACTGATTATTATTCTACTTATACTTTTGTGGTTTGCAGATCCTCATATAAGGTTGGTAACTTTTTCCATGGGTCATAATCAAAGTCACAGGTGTCTTGGGCTCTGTGCCAGGGTCTCTGAGCCCCCTGGCAGGGGTCCTGGCAATCCAGGACAGCCAGAGGGATGCCCTGAGTTCCAACAACCTCAGATACAATTTTCTAGTCTGAAAGCCTGAACAGACTTGGAGGATCAGGCCTCTTCTTTCCACCTTCCTGCACTACATATCAGAGAACCAAGGGCTGGAGCCAATAAAATACTGAGTTTCCAGTAAAAACATCCCCACTAAGTCCTAAAGGAATTTGGGATACATTTTTCTGGACTGCTAAGAACAGTGATTGCACCAGTCTGGAAAATAAAAGCTGTGGACCTGAAGTCTTGAAGCAGAAGCAGGAAGCACTGGCTGAACTGATAACTGGGACGTTGTTTTAAAACAACCTGGTGAATTTTAGCAGGCCAGCAAGGCTAAGGCAAGGGTGGGCTGTGCCTCTCCCATCATCTATTAGCTCCCCTGCAGTAAAGAGAAGAATTGATTCAAAACCAGGCTTGCATTCTTAGTAGCATTTTAAAAATGCTCCTCAGATAACTGGATAGGCATGTGGGTAAAACTCAGTCATGATAAAAATTGCCAGTGAGAGTGTAAAACAGGAGTTCACTCGCCATGTGGCAAAGGCAGCACATGGCTACTGGTGTCCTGATGGGCAAAGAAGGAGGAGGGGAAGAGAAAAGGAAATATGCTGAAGACATCAATTTGTCCAGGTTAATTGAAACTAGAAAAACCTGTGAGGCACTTCAGAGATGAGGTCAAAGTAGTCTGAGGAAGCCTAGAAAGAGCAATAAAGAGATTTGAGGAGCGGAAGAGACTGAAAGATGAAAAGGCTCAGGTGAGAGTGATGGTAGATATGAAGGAACTCGACAGAATGACTTGAGATAATATAGAATATGTCAGCTAAAGTAACATAGAGAATTTCAGCTGAACACGGTATTTCCTTTTATTTAACATAAGAGAAAAGTGACATCAGATGAAAATGAAAGATGATGGGTATAAACATCCAAAAAAGAAAAACTGCTTTTCAGAACAGTGTGCACCTCCACTGCCATAACTAAACAGGTGGGCTTTTTTCATTCTGCCTAAATACAGGGCAAGGCCCATAGGCGTGTGACTTCATTTTTCTCTCACAACACTAACAGAAAATGCTTCATGCATGGAAATGGTTTTCATAACGTAGTGTTAGAGGAGATAATTCATCCGAATTCCAGCTTGCATTTACATGAGTAATAGGCCCAGCAGGTACGTCAAGAGAAAAAATGCTCTAAAAGCCACCCTACTTTGAGGTGTGATACAACCAGTAATTGCCTAAGATTAGCAGGAAAAAAAAATCCCCTGAACTATGTACTCCAAATGTGCCCGATTCTAGGATCATCTGACTTTCTTTTAGCACCAAACAATTCTGGAAGCAAATACATCAGCTGAGTTAATTAGGAGGCTGGGACCTATGTCCTTTGCAACCTCTACAGTCAGGGGGAATGCAGTGCACATGCCACAGGAAGGGAAATAAAATCCCATTTTATAAAGCTTCTCTTAAGACAGTGAAAATACATGCAAACCTGATGGACAAGACCCCAGTGAAAGCCTTCCCTCCAAGTACCCCCCTGGAACCCCAAATATTCCCACAGGCCAACAGACCCAAACCCAGTGAAGCTCTGTTTCCCTTGGGAGAAATGAGAAGCCCAGGGGCCAGAGTTGGGTCCCCAAATCCAACCCACCCAACTCAATCCAACCCAACCCAACACAACCCACCCCACCCCAATCCAACCCAACCCAACCCAACCCAGCCCAACCCAACCCCACCACTCTCAGCATCTGAGCTGCAAAGGGAAGACGCTGTAGCACCTTTGACAAAGCAGCCACAGCCACAGGGCAGAGCACAGACTCCCAGCTGAGTAAGTCCTTGCTACCCTGCAAACCCAACTCTGAACCCACCAGGGAAGGTTACACATGTCTGGGAAAGTTGCCAAGCAGCTGTATCCCAAAGTAAGAGAAAGTGAAAGTGTCACAGTTTAGACTTCTCTTCTTACAATGCTGTTCACTTACCTCACAAATTTCCTTTTTTGCCCTTTAATAAGTGCATTGTTTGTTACCCAACTGACTCCCATTTGGGAACGTTTTGAGTGGCTGCCCCTCGGACAGCATAACCTGGTACTGCCCAGGTTGCTGGTTCTGAGCTCAAGCTGGAGAGCTTGTAGTGATGCCCTTACACTTGAGCAGAGCCCTGGCTGCTGCCCACCCTGTCCTGCACAAGGGTTACATACACATGACTCTTATTCACTCCCTCGGAAAAGCTGAGCAAGCTTTGTCTCCGTGAGCAGATACAGTATCTCATTATGATCTGGAAGGACCGTTCTCAGAGATTCAGCACCGGGATGACAAATCCGTAAACTCCTTTAGGATCTGTTTCTTTGTAAATACACAGACATGACTCATTACACTAATGTAGTTATGTGTGAAAATTCAAGGGGAAAATATAACCCCAAACCACCTTCATAAGAAAATAAGCTGCAAAGCCAAACATTACTGCATGCTTTTTTTTTTGCCTGGCTATCAGCAGTTTACAAGTTCCCTCTTGTTGGCCCTTGGGAAACAGCACATCCTGAGACTATGAGCACCAGGCAGTTCAAAGCAATGCCAACGCTCTTCAGTGTGATTAAAAAAGCAAGCTTGTTGATATTTGCTGGAATTATCCATTGGCCTAAATAGTCCATGAATTCCTTTCTGTATGCCATGCTGCCTGACCCTTGCAGGCCTAAGTGTTTATCCCCTGTGATGCCTGTGGCTCCTGTGCTTGCTAAGGGCTCCCAGGTCTCATCCTGCTCCCCAGCAAGCCCTTGGAGCTCTGATATTGCAAGTCCTCTGCTAATGGGCTGTGCACTGGTGCTAATGAGGTTCAGAGTACTGACCACAGAGAGGATGGGCCACTTGTTATTTTTCTAATTAATTCAAGAACTAATCACACAGCAGCAATCTCTGAAGACAGCCCATCTAACAGCCGTGTTAAGAAGTCTGCACAAATCTGTCCCCTCTGCATTTGCCCCTGAGTATTTTTCCCTGCTTTTTACAACTCGTTTGAACAAAAGATGGCAAAAAAATCTTGTTCTACCAGCTGCTTGTGTTCTCCCCCATGGCAGCTCATCCTGTACATTAGCTCCTTCTGCTGTTTTAAATCATTTGGCATTCCTTTTGGGCCCACCCATCCCGCATACCCTGAGCTTAAATTCTTGACCCCTACTGGGAGATGACATTAGCTCTCCGCTTCACTGCCTCTCCCATCTTACTCAAAGCTTATCTAAACCCACAGTTGCTCATATCTCCGATTTCTCTTTTTCTTTTGGTTATAACACTCTAATTAGAGCCTTGAAGCATACAGAGATGTGATTTGCATGAAAGCCACTATTCAGAACGAAACTGGTTCCCAACCCATGCAGCTTAGCAGCAACATTTGAAGGCAATAAGTTATTTAGAGCCCTCACTTCTCACCATTATTTTTTAAACACTCAAAGACCCATTCATCTGCTCTTTTCTAAAGGATTGGAGCTAGTTTCACTAGTTTTTCTGGATGGGTAGTGCCCTCATAGCTCTGTACCGTGTTAAATAAACCCCAGAAGAGTTTCCACATTCCTCTTCAGTGTGTATGTATTTACTTGAATGTGTTTCACCTGTTCCCCAGCCTACACAGTGGATGTCTATCCTGTATGTTAAAACACAGAAAAAAAGGCCATCATGATAAACATCTGCTCTCACCACTTTCTTGCTCTTCCAAAGCTGCTTATTTAAAAAAAAAAAAAAGACAGAAAAAATCATATCAGAGAGGTAGGTAACTTTAAAGTGAAGTCCTAACAGTAATGATGAAGATATCTTATTATAGTTACCAGTTATTATTAAATATTAACTGAAATTAAATCTGGAAAGTTTGTAAACACCCTATTTACATACCCAAGTGGTTGTCTTATGTTCAAAGTCTCCCCTCAGAAGAAAAGCAGCTCCCAGTGCCATTTGGCATGAAGGGGACATAAGTTACAGAAGACCTGACACGAGGAATTTGTGCTGTGGCTATTCATGGTGCCAATGCTTTCCACGTAACTCTCCATTCGCGGCCTGCTTGGGGAACGGGATGTGTCCCAGGCACTGGAGAAAAGCCAGAAAAGGGCCATTTATTGGTAGCATATTCAAAGCAACATTTGCAAAACAAATTCAGCACAAACAAAATCTGGCCCAAACAATGTTGACAAATCCTCACTTGTGCTGTCCATGGAGAGCAAGCCCTTGCTGGGGCACTCTGGCTGGGCTCTGTGAATGTCCTGCTGCCTGTAAGGATGCTTTACCCATCCTAAAACTGTGAGAACTCCCGGCACGCTGAATGCATGGCTAATCCCATGGGAAGCTTTCTGCACTGTGCTGTTTCAGCAGCCAGCCAGGCAACAGCAAATTGGTTGTGCAGACCCAAGCGTTTCCCCGTCCCCCTGCCTTTGAACAGGCAAGGACGAAGAACAAACTTCTAATGAATGGACTTCAGAGCACTGAATGTGCCCCTGGCTGGAGCGGTGCAGCTCTGCTGGCCTCAGGCAGAAATGCTGCAGAGGAAGGAGGCAAGGAGCAAAGCGCTCAGAGCTGAATTTGGCCCTGTAATTTCAGTCTGAGGCAGTACCAGGTTAAGATATGCAGCACTACATGCAAAGCTGAATGTTGTTACTCCAAGGATCAGGGACAGAGGCCAGGCCAAGGCTAAATGCAGTTGCAGTTGGTTAAAAATCAATAAGGAGTCCAGATGGAGAGCTGAGATTGCCACATCTGCTTGTAGGGCACAAGTGCTGAGCAGAGAAGATCCTGCTGCAGTGGGAGGATGGACCCCTGCTCATCACTACATCCCACCCCCCCTCTCCAGCAGCATCAGTAGCAGTATCTTTGGTTTACAGGGCTCTGACACAGCCAAAAAGAAGAGCAGGGTCCCAGACCTTGAGCTAGTCCCTTTCCTCCACCCTGCTTCCAGACAGCCCTCCCCTGCAGATATCCATCCACTCCGTCTGTGTCTTCAGCTGGTCTTTCTCTGTGGGCTGCATTTATTGTTTTATATAAAAGATAATTCTGAGAAGAGCAAGCCAGAGAATGTGTCAGAGAAGGGGAAGAAGTGACTTTGCAACTCCAAATAAGTGCATGCAAACAGGGATGACTGCCAGTGATTACTCCCAGAGTTGTGCCTCCTGAACCCACCACATTCCCGTCCCGTGATGTTTGTTCTTGTCTCCAGCCTGACTGCAATCATTATCCAAAAGATACTGTGGAATTTCACTGTCAGCTAGTAAAACTAGGCCCTAGAAATGAGCTTCCTCTATAATTACTTCAGAATACTCAGAGGACCAGATGTTGGGGCATGTGGGACACATCACAGCATAGCAGGATGGTTGTGGTTGGGCAGGATCTCTGGGGATCATCTAGTTCGAGCCCCCTGCTGAAACAGGGCTGGTTGCCCAGGCCCATGTCCAGAGTGCAGTCCCAAACTCCAGCAGCAGAAAAGTTCCTGAGGCGAGCTGGCTTCTCAGAAAGAAGAGAAATTCTCAGAAGATGCTCTGCCCAGATGGCAAAAGATGCCTTCGTGGCTTCTGTAGGATAAAGCAGAAAGCAGGGTGGGGGGACACTGGGGTTTAAGTGGAAATAGGTTTTGGCCACAAAGAAATAGGTGGATACCAGAGAAGGGGGGCTGCCCTGCTAGAACAATAATATTCCCAACTCCCATCAGTGCAGTTTCATTCTTGCCTATGGAGCTGAGTTAAGGGCAGCGCTTTAAAAGAAAGTAAACCACTGTTGGGAAGACAGTACAGCTCTTATGGCTAGAAGGAGACTCAGCACCCAGGGACCTGGTGGGTGGGAGAGCCAGGTTCAAGTTTCTTCATTGCATCAGGCTTCCTGTGCCATCCTGGACAAATCCTGCCTAACAGTGCCTCAGTTTCCCACAGAAACAAGAGGCAGGTAAGAGCTTTTCTCAGGCTCTTTTTCTTCCTTTTCATTGAACATGCTAGGATGGGATAAACCTTAACTAATGAGGTACTGGTGCCAGGCAAAAGTGGTGGATATTTAGGCAGACAGGCAAAACTCTAAGCAGGTGGTGCCAGATCACCCTTTCTGAAGATGTCTCTAGTAGCCTCAGAAAAGAGGTGATTTGAAGACCTCCCTGAAGTGTTTCACCAAATAAATCCTGATTATTTGGGCTTTGTGAAGACAAAGTGATTGTTACTCTAACTTCTTAAGGCACATAAGCATTTAAGCTGCCTTAAATCTTTAAGGTAGCACAATGTAAGCATTAGAGCCAACTTAAATCCTTATTAAGTCTTCTAGGTGCTTAAAGCATTTAAGCCATTTTTAAGTCTTTTTAGAATGACTGCTGGTTCCATGGGAAGGATGCAATGTTGAAAGACACTTGATATGCGATGTCGCCTTAAAGTTCATGCTGTCAGACAAGCTGGTGTCTCATATGCAGCCTTATCAGCAGAGATTTGAAAAATGTCTAGACTTTAATTTCCCTGCCATTTCAGGTTTGGTCCCAGGTTCACAACAATGTCTATAAATGTGACAGGGTTTTGAGAACATAATGATCGATCCATCAGCTCATCCTGGAGGTTCATGTTATCCTACAGCAGGGCTCTAGCACACTGCTCTGTGGTACGTGCTTCGAAGGACAGTAGAGGATGCTGAAAATTATCGAGTTCCTTGCACATACAGGGACAATCACAGCTCACAACTAAGCAAATCTTTTTCCTCTGACTTTTCAGCAGTGACCTTTGGATTGCAATCAACCTTGGAACGCCCAATCTGAAAAGGCAACATTTTTGGCATGCTGTGAAAGCGAGGCTTTATAATAGAAACTACTTTTGCAACTTTTATTGTATGACTTGCACTCAAGAGGATGCCATAACAAACTGCTGAGCACAGTCTTTCTATGAGAAGCGATGCAATCCAGCTAACCCTGTCCTGTGTGCACAGGCAAAGAAACCACTTAACCTCTTGAATAAGGGGTGGCATATGTGGCAAAAGTTCTAAAGGACTGGGCTATCAGTGGACAGAGGGTTTTTCCAATGACTCCAGTGATAATTCTGACTTGTTCTAGTTCTTGTCTTGCTGGATCATATCCCTTATAAAATTATGATTCTGAATGGCTGATAAAGCTCTCCTTTTAGCTTCATTTTTGAGTGGTAGTAGCTGGGAAGCAGTCTGCCTCCTTCAGACCCTTAGCTGGTGCTGATATTGCAGGCACCCACTGAAACAGCCCTCCAAAGTCAACAGAAGAAGACCCAGAGCAAACACGAGCCAGAGAGACATCTCACCTGAGTGCTGGCCACTGTGCTGGGACATGGGCTCCCCTGCTGGAACCCTTTAAGGACTGACCCTACAGGACACTCAAGGGACTATGGTATGATTTGTCTCTCCTCATCTTCTAATAAAATCTCTTTCTGGGTGGGTCATCTGGTCAGACCTTGTCGCACTTCTCAGTCAATGGGCAGGGATAGGCACCTTCAGGAAGCCATTCTTGTGACCTGTTTAACACAACTCTCTTAGTAAAGGGCAGTCATACCTTAAAATAAGCTCATGGCTCTCCTCTATGAGTCCAGGCAATGTCAGACATAGGCAGCCACAGCAGGCATTTCAGCAGACGAAACTGTGCATTTTATACCTAGGTACAAACCAAATGCTTAAATTGACCAGACTGGATCTTACCAAGTGTGCTCTAGTGTGTGTACAAAAGCGAATGACTTTCTCACCCACCTCTTGAGGTCAGTTTTGAAGACCCCCTTTACTTTAAAATGCCATTGCTATTGAATCATGGGGCCAGTCTAGATTCTCCTTCTTTCGCTTAATTGCAAACTGTTAGCCAGTATGCCATAAAAGGTTTATGCAAGCATACCCAAGCGGGCTTGAATGCTTTCCACTTCCCTGCTTTTGCACGTGAGAACTCGCTCACTCCCATTTGCAGACTCTCAGCAGATCTGGGGGTTATGACTGAATGCCTCCAAGCTGGGGGATGCAAACAGACGTCAGTGTTTGGAGTCAGTGACCGCACTCATGCCCACGATAATGACGAGCATGTACAAGCCACCGGGAATTGTTAACATTGAGACTGATTTGACCATAACAAAAGTCTCAACTGTGTTTTGTTATAAAGTGCCTCATTAGTCTGATATTCTTTGTGACATCCCAGTGGCAGTAGATATGAATAGAGAGTTTTTTCCTGTCTCACACATGAGCAACAGGCACAAATTCCCATGTCAGCCAAAACCAGGCCTGCTCTCCACACCAGAGATGTGTAATCTGTGGAACATCTTGTCCAGGGAGATTGTGAGGTCTCCCTCACTGAAGATATTCAAGAACTGCCTGGACACAGTCCTGTGCCACGTGCTCTAGGATGACCCTGCTTGAGCAGGGAGCTTGGAGCAGATGAACCCCTGTGGTCCCTTCCAACCTGACCCACTCTGTGATTCTGTGACTGTGTATCTGAAGGACTGAGCCTGCAAGATGCTGAACATCCCCTGCTGATGAGAGGAGCCAGGTAGTTACTGCCTCAGTCTCTGGGATAATGTAGCCCAAAAAGGGAATGGAAAGTTCAAGAGCTTATTTAAGAGCTCTGTGCCCAAACTTAGCTCGCGCAAAAGGAATCTGCAGGCTGAGCGAGTGCAGCCTGCTGCACAGCTCCCTCTCCTCCTGAGCCCCTGGGATCACAGCCTGCTGCACAGCTCCCTCTCCTTCTGAGCCCCTGGGATGAGCTGAGGAGTCTCACAACCCGAGCAGCGACTGCACCTGATGAAACTGAAAGGAGATTGCCACGCACAGAGTAGCACCTGCCAGGTTGTGCAAATATGCAACATGCTTGACTGTGCAGACCAGCCGTGGACAGCAGGAGCAAAAGAGGGCTGGCTGTGTTCCTGCTCATGCAGCCCAGGGTGAGGCTCATCTCCTCTGCTGCCATGAGGGGCAGCTGGCTCAAGGTTACCTTGCTGGCCACCAGAACAACCAGACCCTTCTTTGCAGAGCTGCTTTCCACCTGGCTGCTCCCAGCCTCCACTGGTGCACAGGGTTATTCCCCTAGGGGCAGGGCATTGCATTTCCCCTGCTTGACTTCA